ACAGGATTTGAGAGATGCGTTCAAACATGTGAACATGCCGTTCTTTGTTGGTTGACTTCCAAATTATGAAGAGGACAAAAAGATTTGTTCCTGAATTAGTACTTTAAGAAACTAATGTAGCCACGATTCCTTACTTTGAATGTTCTTTTAATTATGACTCTTGAAAGAGTTTGACATTGACATCTGGTTCGGTTATTATTGATCTGCTGAGCATCAAGCGTTAAAGGTCATTCGTTGTGGATTCAAGGTTGCCAAGCGAAAATAATTAAACAATGAATAGTATGCAGAGATACAAAGCTACCAAACGTTCAAAAATTATTATTGATCTTATAATAGATCCATTAGAATCTTTGGGATTCAACAGAGACTAATTAATTCTGACCCTCATCTTAAAAGAAATTACTAGTTAATACTCAGATGAAGGAAAAGAACCTTTTTTTTTTTTTTTTTTTTTTTTTTTTGGAAAATATTAAGATAGCGTGTCGATGTTAAATCCTGAAGATATTTTTTTTCATTAAAGTTTTTCTCTATTTCATAATATGTTTGCAAATCATGCGAGGTTATTTGGTACATCTTTGCTAAATTACTCACCGGCCTAGAAGATTGTATAAAATATGTAATTTCTTTATTGGTAAATAAATTAACTTAACCATGGAGTTTAGGAAAACTTATTATAAAGTATTTATTATAAAGTATTTATTATAAACAAGTGTATAATCATAAACTTGAAAACTATCAAAAATTAATTTAAGCATTAAGACTATTACAACTATTTACCCGCCACTTTAAAATTCTTGCTTTCCCCTTCTATTGCGCCAAGCAATCTGAAACTTATGATACTTCTCAGCCAAACTGATATCCTATATACAAACACCGACATAAAATTTTAAATTGATTTCTGCAACAAGAATCTCGCACGTTCTACCTCCAAGCAACGACCACTTGATATTTCCCATAAAAGTACGCCGATGCTGTAAACATCGTGCGTACCAAAACTTTTTGGATCAATATAAGGATCCAGTATTGATTTGCGCATCAATATTTCTTGTATTTTGCGCTTTTGCTTTTAAGCATTGAACGACTTTTGATAGGTTGCAATCCGCCGCAGGCATGTTCATTCTTCGAAAAAAAAAAAAAAAAAAAATTGTTTAGATATAAAATACAAAATATTTTCCGCAATTAATAGTTTGATTTTTACATAAGTAGAACAGTGAACAATGGACAGAGAACTATCCACCAAGAAACAAGTTCTATTTTAAACTCATTATATACCGTTTGGTATTAAACATTCATGAACTAAATGAAACTTACTTTATAGCAGACATTTTTTTATAATTATTTTCCATTGTTTGAGCTACGATAAATATTTATTCACTTAAACAGCAGTACAATGTTGAAAGAGTTGAAGGAAATTCAAAAA